AAGTCCCCCGGCCCCGGCCGATGGCCGCGCTGTGTGTCAGCAGCCCCAGATCTGCCTGGCCAGGCTGGGCATGCGTCAGCAATGCAGTGAGCTGCGGAGAGTTAAACTAGCCGATCCGGCGAGCACGGGGGAGGGCAGTCCGAGGGGACTGGCATGGGGAGCAGCAGCAGCCTGACGTGGCAGCTAGTTTCTGTGCATCCATGGGGTGACTGGCACCGTTCTTTGGCCTGGTCTATACGACAGCAGCCCTGTGGATGAGGGGACAGCAAAGGGGGCAGGTGCCCGGGGGCTCGGTGATTTAAAGGCCTGGGTGTCTACGTCACGGCTGGAGCGCTGGGACCTTTAAATCGCTGCCAAAGCTGAAGGGCTGGGGGAGGCCAACCTGCAGCCCTGCCTCTTCCAGGGGCCTGGAGCCAGCCTCCCCCAACCTTGCCCAGGGCCCGGTGAAGTCTGTCGGCAGCCTGCACCGACCTATCTCTGAACGTAGCGGTGCCGTAGCGGGGGGGTCTGCTCTGCGCCCGGGGTCCCCCTGCGCTGGGATGGGAGATTCTCACTGACTCCCCCAAACGTGGATTAACCCAGACACCCAGGCTCAGCCCCCCAGGGAGAGACAAAGGGAGGAGGCGGAGACCAGCACCTGGCTGGGGGGCAGGGCTGGAAGAGAGTTTTAGTTTCTGGCTGGTATCATGGAGGAAGCAGCCTAGGCAAGGGGCTGGGAGTTAGGGGCCCAGTCTCCCCCATCTCACGGGGGCTGAGGCATCCTAGGCCTGCCCTGTAACTGGATGACATCTGTGCTGTGCTGTATCCTGGTGGAGCAATAACCTCCCGCTATTCTACTGGCTGGTGGAGTCTGTTTGTGCCATTGTGGGGGTGCAGGAGGCGGGGGAACCCCGACGTGCCGTCACAGTAACCCCCACGGATATCACCCGCCTGCTAGGTCGATGTGGTTGGCTCGGCGCAGTTGTCAACCAGAACTGAAAAGAAGCAATCTCTGGCTATCCAGTCCCAACCTTCGCAGGATTCTGCTCTGCACCAAACTGACCTGCCGAGGGCACCTGGAAAGAAGCAGATCTAGCAGCAAACGCATCCTCTGCCTGCCGTTACCCACCTCGCAGAAATCACCGTCCACATGGAATGTCCCTGCCCCCAATTCATTCAAATGAACGTTTGTGACCCTGATCCAGAGCGTTTAACGTTGCTCTGGAAAACCAGTGTGGTGGAGCCGCCTGGGGATTATTTCCCCAGGACATTTGACCAGCTTTGCTCCATTTTCACGTAAGACGATTTTCCAAAGTGCCAACCCTGCAAATGCATCCTGGACGCTGGACGTGACACTTCCATCGAAAGCAGCGGTGGGCAACTTCTGGGAGCCCATCGGGCTCTCGGTGCGGCCCCTGAGACGTGTTATTTTCCGTTGCTCACTCGCAGGGTGGCCAGATTCCGAGGGTTTCCTTCTGCTTCGTTTTTTTCCTATCGGTGTCACTAAAGTGACATGCACGTAGAGCCAGGGCCAACTGTGAGTCATGTGCTCTCTCTGCGTCCAATCACAGCGCTGCTACGGGTCAATCAGCACAGCCCACACATTCCAGGCAGGCCAGCGCAGGGAGCAAACTGCCCTCGCCCGGGAGACTGTCTTGTTTGGGACAATCTTGCAACCCCAGAGATGAAGGAGGCTGCGCGTGCGGCCCCCTTACTAGCCCAGGTTGCCCAGGGCTGGTCAAGCAACGTGCAGCCCCCTCACTTGCCCAGGTTGCCCAGGGCTGGTCAAGCAAAGAAAAGAAACCGGGCCTGGCTACAAGAGGCTGATCGAAACCCTGTATCTGAAAGAGCAGAGAAGAGACGGCAGCTTGCTCAACAGCCCTGCTCCTCCAGACAAGTGGGAGCGACCTGTGACCAGGGCGATGGTGACGGGCTCTCTGAAGGTTTGCCAGGGACAGTATTTGTTGATGAGCATTTCAGCAACCGGTTCAATGCCAAAAGTACAGTGCTAGAGTAACACTCCCCGTAGCCAGGGACACGATTGTGGCTTGTTCCTGCCCCTTTCTGGTCTCCATGTCTTCGTCAGAATTGTTTAATTTTCTGATAAAAAATACCATCCCGGTTTGCGTCAGTAGCAACGGCAGGGCCAACGTGCGATCATTTTGGGTTCCATTTTGTTTCCAGAGATTTCCCCTCCATTTTAACCTAAGTTCTGAAATCTCAGCACTTTCGGGCTCTGACGGGGGCTGCAGTGAGGGAACGTTTGCTCTGGTTTTCAAACTGCTCCGATCGCAGGTGGACATCTCTGAGGGAGACACGGCCACCATGAGAGGACCTGGGTCTGGCCGTCACCATGGCTTGGCTCCTGGAGAAGAGGTGCTGGGGGTGGGAGTTTCGCATGGCTGTTGTCTGGTTGTGGGCCACAGGTTTGCTATGCTGGCATGTACTTGCATGTACTGTAGTCTGGCAGCTTTTGAAACTGACAGGAAGGAAGACCAAGCCAGACGCACAGCACAGGAAGAGGTGAGGAGTAAAACTGAAAGAGAGAAAGAAAGCTGCTCAGCTGGAACTGCGAGCGCGAGGCGAGGGAGGGAGCCGAGTAACGGCGCACGGCCGAGAGTGGTTCTTGCATTGGCATCACTGTGGCATAGGAAGAACCCGGCTTTCCCTGAAAAACTCTCGCGAGGCCCTGCAGGTGCGGCGGAGGCGCCCTCGGAAATGGAGGCAAGCCTCCTGCACTTGCTTTGGTGAACTTGGACTTCCTGGCAAAGGCGCTCAAGGTGCCATGATGGGCTTGGCTGAGAGAGCGCCTCGGAGCTGATGGGCAAGCTTGGATATTGAAGCGATTGCTGGGTGTGGGGAAGGCTGCAGCAGGCTGGGTAAGTTCGGGAGGCTTCCCTCGGAGCCCTTTTCCTTCCTGGGGTTGATGGAAAGGGGAAGGTTGGCAGGGGATAGGAGACGGGCGGAGGCTGTGGGCACTGTGACCCCGTAGCCCATATGGACTGTCTAACTGCCGTGCCCTGGGGGAATTGCCCGGGCGTGGGTTGAATGTCACGGCTGAGGTGACACAAAGCGCCATCCTGGTGTGGGAGGCTGGCTCAGGTCTGAGATCTGTTGCTCTGGCTGGCCTGGACGGGGTGGAGCGGCCTCAGAAAGTTACAGCCCCACTGACCTAGGACTTGTAGTGTCTGTAGCATGGACAGAAACTAAATGGCGGGCAAGGCCTGAGCGAACCTTGACAGGCCAGGCCAGCCCCCAGTGTCACTCGGCCCTACCTGCGCCATTTCGTGTCTGTGGAGTTACAGATGGAGCCCGAATTGTTTTATCTGAGCTCCCGGTTTTGTAAATCGCCGCCAAGTGCCTACGATTTGGCCGCCCAGAGCCCGTATTGTAAGGTCCCTTGGATCATTTCGTCCTGCTCATCTGATCAGTAAGGGAAACCCCAGTAACAAGGAAGGAAACCGGCCTCTCCGGTACGGCGCTCAAGTCCCAAGTTGACGGCCCCCGCCTCTCGCAGCCGTTCGAACCCTTCTGTGGTTTGGTACATTGAGGCGCGTAAGCGGCAGACGGAGTTCCTTTTCAAAAACAGTCCAAAATACTTTCCTGTGCTGCAGCCCCAGAGCTGCTGAAATGTTTAACGCACCAGTAACCCTACCATGTGCTTTGGTAGGGCCTTCCCACCCGCAGGGTCCTGGGACACTTTCCGTGTAACCGTAGACCTAGGAATCAGGACCAAAAATGCTGAGGACATTAGAGAGGAACAGGGCAGCTGTTTGCCTGCTCCCAGTGATGCAGCACAGCAGTTGAGGGCATGAAGTCAATGCTGAACCCCTGCGCGGGGATTGAGGTATGAAGTTGCTCCTGCTGGAATCTACCTAGGGCACCGGTGTCAGAGAATGGCTCAGGCATGAGATTCGGACAGGCATGTGCATGTCTCTTACTGAGAGCATCACGGGGTCTTTAAAGATCCCAAGCGACCTTGTACTGGGGTGGTTCGTTAGTGCCACCTCCTCATGGCAACACTTGGGTATTCCGGTGTCCCAAGCACAGAATTGTCCCTGGTTCTAAACCCACGTCCCTTGTGGGAATCCTTGGAGCTCCGACACAAGGACGTCTCCTCAGAAGCCACCTGGCGAGCTTCCTCCTTGAGAAGTTGTAATTGGCCTGCTGAGCTGTGGCTGCCAACAGGCTCTGGCTAATTGAAATACCCGGAAAGGAGCTGACATTGCCCTGACCAGCTGGTTGCCCTGACAGTTCCGTATTAATATGTCCCCACATCATTTTCCGGGGGGCAGACAGCTGGGATGTGGCTGACAGACGGGCTGACTCGCGTTGCGTGCGGAACGTTCGGCAGAGTTCGCCTGCAAGCACGGGAGAAAAGTGCAGGACAGATGAGGCGGAAAGTAGATTTGCCACTAAATTAAATGCTTTTTGCAGAGCTTTGGCCTAGGGCCAGCGGCCGCTAACTCAGTAAATCCACAGTTTGAACACTCATGATTATTTGTGCTGTAAACGCAGAAGCCCGTAGCTTTCCCTCCGAGGTTAGCCTCTGTTTGCTATTTGGAATGAGCCATAGACTACAGCCTGATTTCCCTGAGTAGATTTGTTCTTTGCATGAACGGTTTTCAGCCTCCGGGTTGTTCGGGAACCGTTCTCCTCCAGTGTTTGCCCTTTGCTCTTTCTGTGGTGTGATCGGGCACCTCAGTCCGATGACGGGAGTTCCGCTCGCTGACCGGATGAAACGGGAGTAGCAATCCGTGCGCATGGCGGGACACGGCTTTGGGAGGAACAGTCATCCCTGGAAAGCTTGTGAACCTTTTGGACTCACGACCATTTTCACCAGGGCCCATGTAGTGTCCAAATCCTCAGGGCTGAGGAGAATAGGAACCTACGAACAGCAGCAGAGCTCAGCCCAGAGGGCCACGGAAACCGCCGGCTCCCCTGTGTGTTAATGGAGGTGAGCGTGGGGTAGTGTTTGCTGAAGGGGGGGACCCGTCCTTGTGCGAGGGGCTGGCTTCTCCCCACACAGAGCTGGCCTCTGCCTTCTCCTCTGCGGTTTTCCACACCCCGCGCCCCCAACCCAGGGCCTCCAACCACACCCCGCGCCCTGCCTAGCGCTAGCTCCTCGGCGGGATCGGTCGGACCGAGCCCAGTGTCCGGGGGACTCCCAGGCATCTGAGTTTGTCTCCTCTTTGTGAGTCTGAGTCCCGCCTGCTCCGGGTGCCCCAACTCCTTTCCCTCACTGGCTTGCAGTTTCCTGCCCCCAGGCTGCCCTGGAGCGTTGGCCTCTCCCCATTGGCCCTGGGCATTGTCTGTCCCCTCCAGAGCCTCTCTTTTGGAGCCCGTCGCCCTCTCCGGCGGGAAGTTCCATAAAGCAGCAGCCGTTTGGGAAGCCCAGGGACGCAAGGGCTCCAGGGAGCCACTGAAAGAGCCGGGGAAGCCCCACAACAAGCAGCCCGGAGAATCGGAAGCCAAACCCGTGTGAAGCAAGCAGAAGTGGGCTTGTCATAAGCCACATTGGCAGCTTTCCTGGGTCAAAAGTGTTCAGCATCCAATCAAGGCCCGTTCCATAAAGCAGCAGCCGTTTGGGAAGCCCAGGGACGCAAGGGCTCCAGGGAGCCACTGAAAGAGCCGGGGAAGCCCCACAACAAGCAGCCCGGAGAATCGGAAGCCAAACCCGTGTGAAGCAAGCAGAAGTGGGCTTGTCATAAGCCACATTGGCAGCTTTCCTGGGTCAAAAGTGTTCAGCATCCAATCAAGGCCCAGAAACAAGACCACATGACTTAAGTGACCAGACACACCCCCTGCGTAGGGTTTGGGCAGGATGGTCCCTACATCTAGGGGCTGGTCCCAAGTTCCTCAGCCCTGTGAGCTGGGCCTGGCAGGAGAAGGTGCCCTGGGTCTGAAGGTGCCCTGGCCTCCCGTCTTCTGAGCGATTCTTCAGGGAACCCCCAGTCCTCCTGCTTCGGAGGCAGGCGAGCAGCCGGCCTGTGTTTTGCAGATAAGTCACCAGCAAGGTTGCACAAGGTCATTTCTAGCAGAGGCGGGTCTCTGCTACCACAGGCGTCCAGTTAGACACGTCACCTTTCAGGGCTGAGTTGGCAGTTCTCTGAGCTCGGGGTTTCTATCCATAACCCACGGCTCTAAGTACTAGGCCATGCTCCCTTTCCAGAGCCAGGAACAGCACCCAGCATTTTCCCATTCTCCTGCAATAGCTGCGAGCCCCCCGGCCCTTTCTAGGGCCGTGTGTGTGTTAATGGCCGCCTTTCCTCGCAGGCTGACTGCTTTTGCTCAAGGGCTTGAGGTCTGTGCTGTGACTCTCAAGGGCTGGTCTAGGCCACCAGCTGAGCCACGATCCAGGTTGGCTGGGATCGTGAGCTGCTGCCATCGGATGGATGTTTGATGTCTTCTATTTGAGAGGGGTTTTGGGGGTCTGTGTTGTCAGTGGCGTGTAACGGAGGCAGGGGGAGGCTCCCCCCGCCTCCGCAAATGCTCCCTGGGCTGTGATTGGGGGGTCTCCAGACTCCTCTGTCCTCGGGAGGCACGCGTGTATGGGGGCGGGGCCTCCGGCAGAAGGGGCGGGGCTCGGATCTAGCTTCCCTGAATGGGGAAGGAGCCATGCACCTCACAGGACTAATTAGCAGATTCATCAGAGGCTAACTACTGGGTGGGCCATAGAGCTGGCCTGCTCCTGTCACCCCTCGAGCACAGCCCCCTCCCCAGCTCAGGGTTGTGGCACGTTGGCAGGGTGACGTGTGTTGGATCTGGGCTGTGCGGCCGGCTTGTAGATAAAGAGAGGGCTTGATTCGCCGGCCGGCCCTTTTCCCCAGCGGGAAACCCCTCTGGCAACTGCCAAGCTGAAATTGAGGGATCCAGGCGGATTCTTTGCAGACACGCAGACTCCTTAAATAACGTGCATAAAATGTTCCCGTTCCGGCGAATGGGTCCTGACAAAAGGGGGCAGCCCGAGGCAGGAATTGCGGGCAGCCCGACGGGGAACACGGAATGGGAAGGGGATTTGCTTCCACAAGCGACTCGGGGCACGTCCGTTCTTAAATGATTCGCAAGCAGGACAACGGCAACTTGTGCCCACTAATGTCTCGGCAGGGAAGATGTCGATCCTCTCCGATCCAGCAGGCAGGACCGCGCCTGGGCACCCGCAGGATCCACAGCGGCGTCGGGCACCATGGCATTTGGGGCACCACTGCCCCATTTTTGGTGGTGTCCTAGGCAGTGCTGTGTGTGGGGGGCAGCAAGCCCCAGCCCCTGGCCGGCTCTGTCCCACGGACTGCCCTTACTGGCCGTTCACCAGCTGATTCCCCTCCGGCCTGCAGCTTGAACTGCACCGCCCGCTGCCTGGCCCCCACTTGCTCCTTCCCCAGCCTCCCTGTCCTGCCCCTGCCCCCATGGCCCTCGGGGTGCAGGGGCTCGGGCTGCATAGGCCACCCCGATTTGTAAGGACAGCCCTGCCAGCAGGCAGCACTTTACAGTAGGGCTGGGGAACCCTTTGTGGGTCGGGGGCGGCTGACCCACAGAAAAACCAGTCGGGGCCTGCACACAAGTGAGAAGCAAAATAAACCAAAAGAACCCGGCGCTGACGTGGCCCCCAGCTGAGAAGGAGAACGCCCCTCCCCATGTTCGCACACCGGGGGGAGGGGGAGGCTAGTAGATTTTGTGATGGTGGGGGGAGGGGCTGGAGCACCAGCATGGGCTCCCCAGTATTGGGTGGGGAGCCTGTGTCTCAGGGGCCGGATCTAGGCAAGCTGGGGGCCACACCTAGCCCCTGGGTCTTAGGTTCCCCACCCTGCTGTACAGCAATGAGAGGTGAGCAGCAGACTCTCTGTATCTTCTGAGTCAGATCTACTGACGTTAGCCGTGCTGCTTTGGGGGACGTCTACCCGGGGGGGTGTTAGCGAATCCAGGTTAAGAACACAGCTTAGAATAGCAGTGAGGAAGGAGCAACTGGGCCTCCCTAGAGGCTTGAACAGCAGCGAAAGTAACTTCACATTCTTACAGGTGCTGCCCCATTGCAACGTGGGCCCCTGCCGGCTCTGTAAATAGCTCCCTGCCGGCTTTCGCTGCAGCTCAGCCAGCCCTTGCCGGAGCCACGCACCAGGGTGCCCCCCTGCTGACTGTCACCTCTGGGCTAGAATGAGTAAAAGCTGAACTGCTGAGCCACCTCTGCTGGTCTGACCCGATTTAGCTCCCGGAGCTAAGCACCCGTCTTTTGTGGTGTAGACAGACCCTGTCGCTCCAGTTCACTTTGGAGAACCAGAGCGGCTCTGGGACCAGCAGCCTGGCTTCCCCATCCAATCGCTAACTGATTCTGAAGCTAAAGATCCCAGGCTGGTTTCTGCTCCGGGGGGAGGGAGGAGGGCTGCCCGGGGGTGGGAGTTTGGCGCAGGCTGTCATGGGGAGAGCAGCAGACTCAGGAGAACTTGTTCCCGGGTCCCTCCTGATGTCGGCGCTTGGCTCTGGCGCCAGAGACACGTTGGGAGAGGATCGCCATGGGCCCCTGCAATGCCCTGTCTGAGCACGACGGAGGACACCAACTGATTCCTATTAACAGGACTTAAAGGACAAGAATTAGACACTGATATGGGCACTCCATGGGATGCTGATACAATCTCTCGTTCCCTAGAATATAAAGGCTCTGGAGAATGCTACGGAATACTCTGTTTTATCCCAAATCCAAACCTCCACGCTGTCCAGATCCCGTCCTTGTCCCAGCCGGAGACACACGGTGCACAGGGCATGTCTGATCTGGGGACAAGGACAAGGACACAGCGTTGCAGTGCAGACATAGCCTGACTGGCCCATGTCAGAGGCAAGGCACGGGCCATAGAAGTCCTGGGTTCCTGACTTAGAGACAAACGTACTTACCTGGGCTGGTGTCTGGCCAGGACATTAACTCGGGCCACGGCTGCTCTAGGGATGTAACACCTCCAGGTGGTCACGTCCTCCGTTTTACATGACAGGTGGAAAACGCAACAGCTACTGTGGCATGTCTAGAGCCTCCAGGCTCTGCTGATGTCCATCAGAGCTTGGTTCCAATCAATTCACTTCCATTGGACAGGCGTAGGGAATGGCTCCCGGTGCTGTGAGCTAAGCTAGTCTAGTGCTACTGCGTGGATAGAGGAGCTGCAAAGAAGGGAGATCGTGTTATCTTGGGTGTTGCAAGTGAGAGCCCCCGGTGGAAATGTTTGGTGCATGGTTCAACCAGCAGGCACACGACTCAGCTCCTTGCGCTGGTGTTGAGAACAGCCCAGGCATGTGGATGCTGATTGGCCGTGAGAAACCCCTGGAAATGTCCGTGTCCTGGGTGGAGTGGTGGTTTAATCCCTCATCGGCGGCCTGTGTAGTCCATGGTCACCTGAGCCTGAATTATTCCTGCGTCTTCCTTTAGAAATGTCTTTGAGCCAGTCCCGCTGAGCAGGAACGCTGATTCCACTGGGGCTCCTGGCAGTGTCCTCTCTAATCTCTTCCATCCAGGTGCAGAATAATTTTATGTGCACTGAGACGTGGTAGCTGTGTGGATGGAAGAATTCTTCTCTCGACTGTGCACTGTCTACACAGGGACTTCATAGCCTAGTTAAGCCAGTGCAATGTTGTTGTGCTGTCACTGCCTGGAGTGGACCTGCCTGGCCAAGAGATGCGGCAGGCGGGTTGCTAAGGAGTCCGACTCTCCTGGCACCAGTGTGGAACGGCAGCTGGAGATGCACAGCTCTTGACTTAGCACCTGATAGCGTCTCTGCCTTTCTTGGAAGGGTGCCACTGACCTTTGATGATTAACGGTGTCGCTATCTTTAGCCTGGCTGCTTGTGTGCCACGCTGGCTTCCTTGTGGCGTGCCGGAGGGCTGCAGGGCATGGAGTGAGCACTGCCTCCTCCATGGAGCAGATGGAGTTTGCTTGGGGGGGGGCCCATACCTCTACCTGAAATCCATCACTTGTTTGGC